GATGACAAAGTACCAGTCGCCGTCGATTTGGAAGGCTTCGATGTCATTTGGCTTACGGGTCTTCTGGCTGTCGATATCTTGGATTTTGATGAATTTATCCACGGCGGTGTCCCAGCGGTAGATGTAGGAGCCGCCGAAGAGCTGAGCCACCACCACGTAGAGCTGGTCCTGCGCCACGATGGGCTTGCAGTGCACCGCCGAGTGAGCTGCGGGGCAGAACCCGTCACACCGCGACCGTGCCCATCCCCAGTCACCCAATGGGGGGTCCCAACCGGGGAGGAGCCCCCCAGCCGGATGGCTTACCGGGGATGCGGTCGAAATCCCGCAGCTTGCGCTCCACGTAGTCCCACTTGAGGATGGCGCAGCTGCTGGCACCAGGCTGTGCCAGGGCCACGTACAGGTCACTGGCGTAGGTGAAGGGCTCGGCCGACACGGACTGGAAGGGCAGGACCTGGTGCACCACGAAATCTGGGGGGAGAGGCGGTGGTGAGGGTCTGGGTGCCTGGGATGGGGGGGTGACGGCCAGCTGCAGTCCCTTACCCGTGGTGACACACTGGAAGTCACCCAGCACCAGGTCGCGGATGCGCTGGGCAGGGGGTGACAGCCAGCTGTGGTCCCTTACCCGTGGTGACACACTGGAAGTCACCCAGCGCCAGGTCGCGGATGTGCTGGGCAGGGTGTGACGGCCGGCTGCGGTCACTTATCGGTGGTGACACAGGGGTGCCGGCCAGCTGCGGTCCCTTACCCGTGGTGACACACTGGAAGTCACCCAGCGCCAGGTCGCGGATGCGCTGGGCAGGGGGTGACAGCCAGCTGTGGTCCCTTACCCGTGGTGACACACTGGAAGTCACCCAGCGCCAGGTTGCAGGGTCGCGGATGCGCTGGGCAGGGGGTGACAGCCAGCTGTGGTCCCTTACCCGTGGTGACACACTGGAAGTCACCCAGCGCCAGGTTGCAGATGCGCTGGGCAGGGGGTGACGGCCAGCTGCGGTCCCTTACCCGTGGTGACACACTGGAAGTCACCCAGCGCCAGGTCGCGGATGCGCTGGG